TAATTCATCTATCAATACCTCCATCGTGCATAAATCATTCATCGTGATGGTCTCCAAGTTAGATATCTCAAAAATAAATCTCGAATCTCGTTTGAAACTGATGGTTTCCATCCAACTGATCCATCAGTTGAAGAAAATACAGGAATTGTAATACCGTATCTTTGTCGAGATGATAGAATTATCATAAATACGTCCCAAACAAATTCGTTCCGGAATTCATTAATCTGCAACATCGCCGAAGTCAAATCCATCTTTAGGAAAGGTTCGAAGTGCTTATTCAATTTTTTTAAATTAAAGCTGACGATGATGCTGCGATTTCATCTACGGTTGAGGACAATTTGTAAGGCCTTGCTTCGTCCAGATTATAGTGCAAATAAAGTATAACGTCATAAACTTTCGCAATGCCTATATCTCTCACTCCAAGCATTGTTAATTCAATCAAGCTAATATTAGAATTGTAATGTATGCAGATGTGGTTAACTTCCAAAAATAATTTCTAAAAATAAAAGAAATTTTGCCATTTTCGTTCATTCCTGTTAACCTAATTGTTCTTACAAATATAAAAGTACTGCATTCTACTGAAGCAGTTAAATGATAAATATTTGACATACATTTTATCTCATATTCAAATGGTTCTGTAATTACCTTCAACTCTTCTACCTGTTTTCGACGGGAAAAATAGTAGTCGACATGATGCCTACAGCTCTTCAAAAAGTGCTTCACATTATTCAGATTATCAATAGGATATTGCGATAATATGTTATGTACATCAATAAAGTAAGGCAGGACGCGTTTTCCTAGCTTTCCGTAGCCATTGTCGTCTATCAATATCTCTATCGCGTATATGTTCTTCTTCTGTGGCGATCGAACGAAAAACCAACAATGTTTGGTTTGGTTTTGAATTCCAATTCAGCCGCAATTGCACATCTGATGTATCACGAAATGTCATATCCCCATTACGCAACAGTTTCGATTTACATTTACCAATTGTGGTCGTCTGGATGCGGGAGCTCCAATCGAGCCTTCTAGCGTGGAGACATACATATGTCTTCAGTGTAGCAATCTTTTTCAACAATGCATCTCTGTTCTTCTGGTGAGACAATTCTAAATAACCAAAAATTTCCCACTTGAATAATAAACCATAATGTATATTTCAATTCTGCATACATTATAACAATAAAGTTCGATAACGTCAGCAATCAAAACAGGAAAAAATATTCTCTTACAAAATTTATATAGAACTTGTTTCTTAATCATTGCTATACTTTAGTTATGAAAATTTCACAAAGTGTTTAATTAGAGAAAATTACATATAAACGAAACACTTAGTTTAAACTTAGACTTTATCTTAAGAACAAAAGAAACAAACCTGCACCGCTAGAGTTTTCCGTTTCCATGTCCAACGAAGATACGATTTTTATTCTTCTAACAATTAAATAAAGATGTGCACAAATGGTAGCGACTTTCTATCTACTTTAATTAATTTTTGCATATATCTGAGAGTAAATGCAAGCTGCTCTCATTCGTTCAACGCACCAAGTATAACGAGCGAAATAGAATCGCGACTGAGTGAAATTCCGCAGACATTCGGCAAAATAGTTCGTGTTTATGTATCGTGTGTATGTGTTATCGACAATCGTTCGTGTGTTAGTGTTCTACGATTTTCCTGGAAACCTCTACCAAGCCTTCGCGTGATTATCAAGCACGAATATTTACCCACGGTATCCTACAGTATATTACAAATAGAGAACATTTTGCATTCTCTTTTCAGATAAAAATATAATTATTGTAATTACGGAGGAAGAAATGTTAAATTTAAATTATGGGTCTGTTTTTTTATAGCTGAATGGTTGCACTATCCAGCGAAAAATGACTTGTCGATCGATGTCGAAACAATGTCGACAAATCATTTCTCACTGGGTAGATCAGCTATAAAGAACAAACCCGATAATACCACAGATTAATAGAGAGATTACCAAAGGCCCGGGTGAAATCGAGACCCACCATACACTTTGCCCTTTACCGACAGCTTTGCCTCTATAAAGTGTGAGTCTGAACTAAATATATTCGATTTTATCGACAAGTTTTGCCTTTTGGTGCGAGTCCAGACTAAATGTAGGCAATTCTGTCGATAAAATCGGATATTTTAGTCTGGACTCGCACCAAAAGTTACAATTTGTCGTTAAAATAAAATATGTATATACATATTTAGTCCAGGTTCGCACCTTATAGGGGCAAAGCTGTCGGTAAGGGGCAAAGTGTGTAGTGGTCTCGATTTCACCCGGGCCTTTGGCGATCTGTTTATTAATATGTGATAGTACGCACTTTATACTCTTTTTTTTATGGCTGCGGTCCACTCGATGCTACAAAATGCCATGCTTCAAAGCATCTTTTTAACAACGAAAGAAAGAGAAGAAAAATGCTTCGAAGCATTTGTAGCACCATCTCAGTAAACCCAGAAATGTTACCCTACAACTTACCAGTTACTAGTAAATTACCGATTGTAACTAAAATAAATTTTTTCAATATCTACACTGTATGTACATTATTTGTATTTTATTTATACTAAATTATAAATTGCGAGCGATTAAAGATTGTTATTTCAACAAGACTGTCATGAATAATAAATCAACACGTCTCACATTTACGAATTGTTTAAAGTTTGTTCGTAATAAGATGTAAAATATACATCCCTACATACATTTAACGTAACACGTGACATAGACCGTCGTGTCTATTCCGCGTATAATGCGAATTATCTGTGCTAGAACCTTTCGCATAGATATTTGATAAATTATTTAAACGTCGCTGTATCTTCGCGACTTTTTTCCCAAAAGGATGATTAATCGCAGCGCAAAGAGCACAGCGTGGCAATGTACTTCTATCATAAACATTGTTAGTAGTATTATATAAAACGGGACTATCGAATGACGACGCCGAGTCGCGTTCTCTTCCTCTTTCGCGCAGAGAAAAGTACGATAACGCACGGCGAAAGTATATCCCAGCGCTCGAGACACACGCCAATTTACGCGAACGTAAATAAACGAGGCGTATTGTTATCTCTCGACGGCAGACTCGTCAGTCGAGCGGGCGGGTATTATCGGCCCGACCTTTGAACCGTGCGCGCAAGAGAGAGAGAGAGAGAGAGAGAGAGAGAGAGAGAGAGAGAGAGAGAGAGAGAGAGACATTCTCCAGCGAAAAATCGGTTCCTCTCGTCTCCCTCCCCTTGCGATAAAAGCAACCCTCTGTCGTTCCGACCACTTAGACACCCGTGCGTGCACCGTGACGTCGATTATACCGGTCATTAAATCCCGATGCGACTAGGAACATCGAGGCCGGCAACACCTGACGCGGCCTCTAATCGAAGGAAGACAATCGCGGCCGAGAAGTCACGGAAGAAGGCACGGCGACGCAATTACGAGCAGTAACGACACGAAATCTGGATATTAACGGCACCGGCGTGCAGCCGAGGCTACCTTTGTATCGCCGAGAAGCTAAATTTCGTTCGCCAGAATCGCCCGCGACGTCGTCGCCGCACGAGAAGAAATAAATATCCACGAAATTCTCGACGTGATCGTAGAGCGAATCAGCCATTTGCGTCATAATAATAGTCCGCGCGATCGGTGTAATTGTTTTCAAAGTCGCTCCGATAATACTTTTTCTTTCCGTCTATTCTTGTAATATGCGACGTTCCCGGTAGCGACTTATTGTGCGAGAGATACACAATCGACGAAAGAACGAATGTGGAATCGATTCTGAAGCATGTACGTAATCAAAACACTCCCATCTGGCTCGTCTCTGCCAGAGGAGAAGCTTGTTATCGGTATTGGTATACGGTCGAAAAATCAGTTATCACACGTTTTAAACGATCTACACGAATTAATTTAACTGGATTTAACATAATATACATAGACGAATGATATTAAATGGTGGCAGTGATACCACGTTAATATTTTAACATATAATATATGCAAGCAGGGTAATTTGAAATAAACTTTGCGTACGATCAATACTTTTAACAATAAAATTAACTGAAAAAGTTATTTTCATATTTCACTGCTAATTCAAAGTTTTACATTATAGAATCAAATCGACATTTTCTTCTGGAAATTTTAACGGATAAATCCCGCCACTAATAATACAGAAACGTATCTACTGTGTGAAATTACAAATAAACGCACATTGCGTTACTTTTACACTTTTTTTCAGTTATTTCAATAATGTAACACTTGAGTTCAATGATCACAATGCAGCGACGTATGAAATTAACACATGAATGTGTGAAATATTTAACACAAAAATTTTAGCCGGCATATTTTTTAACAAGAAAGCACAAATTTCTCAACCGCAAATAAGCCGACGCGATGTGCCAATTAATTTTGCGCACAGCTGCGCGCGCTTGTGTGTCGCGTACACACTTTGTCTCCGCTTCCACGCGGCCGAGGAAAACGAGGAGACGATCTGACCCGACTGTCTACACCCGATATCAGCGGGAACGATAAAGCCGAATTGTAAACACAGGGCGTGTGCAACTCCCGTCGAGATGAGAACGCGTAAATCGGGCATGCGAGCTTCCACGCGAACGGTCCTGAAGATCCAGAAACACGAAGATTGCAGGGTGCCATGCAAGCGCACCCATAGAAAAGACTTCCGGACTCAGTGCTATTAGATCTATCATAAAGTAGGACCGATACAGCGTTAATCGTATTTATTATTGAGAAAGAAAGATTTAATTTCGCTTCTTAAGAATAAAATGGCATTGCGCGCGTTATTACACACCGAAAGAAGATTTGTTCTAAACACATGAATGTATAAATAAATTCATACGCGGAAGAAAAATGCTATTGAATTAAAAAAAAATTAAGTTGTTTGAACGTTAACGCCACAAATATAAATAATTCACTCAATTCTATTTGCTAGAGATTTTAATTTTAATTGAACTAATCTTCTTCATACGAGAAAGTGCTATGCCGCGCGGCCCTCTAGCGGGAACTGCGACAGACTTGGCTATCTAAAAATTACTTTAAGTGTCCAAAAATACTCTACAATTTCTCAAGTAAACTTTTAACTTCATTAAGTAATCTCTTAGATTTGTGAAAGATTACTTTTAAAAACTTTAATTTCGTTTGAACTAAATTTTCCCAAGGATTGTTTTTATTCTTTTACCGCGCGAGGCTGTGATAAGTGTAACTATGTCAAGAATATAGTTTCCCTAGCGTTATTGGAAATTCTCTTTACGAGGATCCTCCAGCCATCTTTTTTACCGACACAGACAAATATGGTTTTTGCGCTTGTAATTCTTTTTATTAACTTTTATACATAAAATAATACCAGGATAAGTTGCAGGATGCAGACCGCATAGCAGAACATTTTCATACGTAAAACGCTCAGTTCAGCAGTCTAATAAAAGAGATATTGGTATTTGAAATTGTCAATTCGTAGTTCTAACTAAATTTGAAATTGGCTTTATAAAATGGCAAACTTCTTCCGCACAATTAAAGTACGCATAAAGACAAAACCAGAGACACTCGACTTTATATTCAATTTCTCTTCATTTTTTTTTACTAGAAACGATAAAATGCGCGCTTCGCGCGCGCAGTTTGTGGTCAAGCATTGTATATTTTTAAGAATTTGTATACACGCGAAGAAGTAATTGTATGCGCAACGTCAATTTAAAATAAAAAGTAATTTGTCACTCACTGATACGGTTCGCAACAGCAAAGTTGTACATCGCTATACATGTTAAACTGTAACAATACAAAAATGTATACGATTATTATAGACTAATTATGTAAAATCCAGACTATTGTGTTAAATATACTTTATATTTAATATTTTTGAAAATGGGTGTTTATTAAAACAATTATATAGAATACTGAAAGTCTTCCTTTTAAATATAAACTCACAAAATTTTATACGTATGGTTTTGTCTCCAATACTTATTCGAATGCTCGTTGGAATCATTTGAATAAATAAAATAAAAGCACAGAACAGATGATTCATTTTGGACAAGTAGCAAATAACAAAAATGTAAGACACTTACCTTACGATTTCTCTGCCGTTGCCCGATGCCACCTAAGCCTGCTCCTCCTCTCAGATTTTCTTGTTACACTTACACTCACACACTCACTCGTGAAAATCAATCGCGCGAAATTTTGGACACTCCCGTACGCGATGTAAAATACCGTGAAATGCAATAAGCGACGTTCTTTACTTCCTGTCCATTCGAGTTGCGAAGAACGACAGAGCGAATTACAGCGCGAACGCCGAAGTCGCACAAATATCTCTCTCTTCCCGAAAATAGAACAAATTACACGAAATCGATAGATAGTTAAAAGCGCGGTGCGTAAACGAGATGTAACCGCGACAACGTACCACGGTTTACTTTCATATTTTAGATGAGTTAGTCTCGTAAAATATCCATGTACACGTTAATAAAGAGCCGTCGCCTCAACGCGCAATTTCTCATTACAAGTTGTAGAAACTTAATAATTAATCTAGTAGCATTACTTGTGACTGATAAAGGAGTCCAAATCAATAGCGTTTTATCCTTACATTCTTCACGATCGAGTCTTGGAAACCGACAACGCAAAAATAATATCACGCACGGAGCGACTCGCGCCACTGCTTGCCGGCTCGACGTTCGGCGAGCGAGTGAGCACGCGGCGACCTTCAGGTACAATGATGGTACGCAAAAACATCGTACGTCATCGCGTCGAGTGAATAACAACAAAAAAACGTTGAGAATTCGTTGGCCCATCTATGTAATGGAAAATTCCGTATTTATCACTCGCTCGCCGAACATCGAGCCGGCAGGCAGCAGCGAGAGTTGTTCCGTGCGTGATATTATTTTTACGTTATCGGTTTTCAAGACTCGATCGTGAAGAATGTAAGGATAAAACGCTATTGATTTGTACACCTTTATCAGTGACAAGTAACGTTACTCGATTAATTATTAAGATTCTAAAACTTGTAATGAGAAACGAATTGCATGTTGAAGCGACGACTCTTTATCAACGTGTACATAGATATTTCACGAGACCAACTCATCTAAAACATGAATGTAAACCGTGGTACTTTGTCGCGGTTACATCTCGTTTACGCACCGCGCTTTTAACTATCTATCGATTTCGTGTAATCTGTTCCATTTTCGGGGAGAGAAATTTGTGCGACTTCGGCGTTCACGGCGTAATTCGCTCTGTCGTTCTTCGCAATTCGAACGGGCAGGAAGTAAACGTCGCTTACTGCATTTCACGGTATTTTACATCGCGTACGGGAGTGTCCGAAATTTCGCGCGATCGATTTTCGCGAGTGAGTGAGTGCTGTGAGTGTAAGTGCAACAAGATAATTTCAGAGGAGGAGCAGGCCTAGGCGGCATCGGGCAACGGCAGAG